GCTTTACATTTTATTTTGTAGCATAATAAAAATGCCTTTTGATTAATATAATAATAATAATTGTCGACTTATATAGCGCATATTGTAGACTAACCTCTATGCACATTACATTATTACCCCCGGTCACTGGATCAAGCACATGGAACACAACACTCATGCCCCATAATGTTGTAGCTATAATCAGCGCATGGTTGTGTTTCAACCTACCAGGTACTCCTGGGTGGAGAGTGACAACCATAGATAAAGCGCCTTGCCCAAGGACATAAGCGACTTGCACAGCGAGAGTTTCGAACCCCGACCTCAAGGTTGGGAATTCAAGCCACAACCGATGCGCCAACCACTTCTACAGTGGCCAATTCCACAAATTATACTACATGCTATCACTTTGTAAGACTAGTTTTTTTTGTTCTTTTTTAATGTATACCTGGGTAGAAGCCTTCCCCTAAAAATCAACCCAATTTCATGTTCAAGGTGGTGGTATGGTGGGCTTATATATGAGGAGGTAAGGTTTTAATACTATGCATTATAACTTGTTATTAATAACAAGCTGTTGTGTTTTTATGTTAGTGTCTTGCAGCTGGGTCAACGATTATGCAACGGGAGATAGAGAGCGCAGCTTTGAGACCACTTGCGAGGGCGTTAATTGGAAGCTTAGACTCGTTACGTAACATGCTCAAGGATCAATGTCTGAAGAATATTAACAGCTACTCTGATAAGGTTTGTACAAATAAATCGCAATTGTTTGTATAGAAATGATTGTTTAGTCTTTAATTTTAATTCAATTTAGTAGGTCCAGCTTATTTTTATCTTTACAACATTGTCTTTGTACTGAGGGTCCAAGTTGATCTGCTCTGGCTGAATGGACCACCCTCATACAAAATATTGTTGAATAATTTAATAGTGTTCATTGTTAAACAATCAACAATAATAATAATAATAATAATAATAGAAGCGATAAAAAATGATTGAGTTCGTTTGCAGAGGAAGCAAGAATAGAATATAATTATATTTGTGAAATGCATTTAGGGACATGGTTGTCTGAAGCGCCACTGTAAAAAGCGTAGACATATAATATGCTGATTATGATTAAATTTACAGTAAAGTGGATACGATTCATCATTCATTATCTTGTGGATTCTTAACTAATCAATCATTTGTGCCATCCACAATTCACAGGTAGACTTTAATGGTTCTCAAATGCTTCTCTCCTCAGCCTTTCTCTTAAGTTCTGGATTATTACATAGTAATAAATTAAAGTTTAAAGCTTATTTAACTTATAAAATTTTCATTAAAAAAAAATATTATTAGAGACGTACTGTATAAAAAATATTTATACCTTTGCCATTTATATGAATTTAATATCCTCTTTGACCATTATGGTTGGCTTGACATTTATGGCTTGGACTCGCAAGCATGTGGTCAGGGAGCTCCTGACCATGAGGTCGAGGAGCTCAAAACCCTTGTGCAAGTCGTTTGTGTCATTGGCAAGGCATTTTTATCCATGTTATCTCTCCACCCAAGGGTTTAAATGGGTACCTGGGAGGTACTAGTGCCTACTGTAATTAATTTCAATGTAGCAAATTATGAAGTTAACCCTCAGCTGAGGTGGATGCACAATTTGGCGGTAGGTGGGGTTTTGCGAGTCGACAGCACCTCAGCCTCACCATGGTTTTGACTGAGATGAGAAAATTTTAAGAATTTAAGAATATGGACCTGTACTGTAGGTGCCCAGAAATTGCACTCAAATACTCTAAAAAACTTACCAGTACTCTACAGTATGGTCATAATAATAAAAATAATATATCAACAATAAACTACTATCCAATTATATTTCTTAATACAATTTAGGGAGGTGTGATCACACGGTGTTCACCCCAAGTGAGAGCAGATTAGCTCAGTCGGCTAAGCCATTGTGTGTGCGCTGAACTGTGGAGATCTCTAGGTCCTTGGTTCAATTTCCATCGCTGCCTCTCCTTGTGTTTCAGCTGGAGGGCTGAAATACAAGTTACAATAGCACACTGGCTTTCGGATGACATGTTTATACCGTTGGTCCCGTGTCCACGTTAAAGAACACAGTACACTCTTCGGAAAAGAGTAGGGGATTGTCTCCCAGTATACTGCCCAATCAACACCAGAAGGACCCCCACTAGAAGTAAGTCGTCTTCTAGACTTTTGTGGGCTATCCTTGGTGTTTACACCGAATAAATCCAATCCAATCCAACCCCCTGCATCCACCCCAGCTCAGGATTTTCTGAGATTTACTTGAGTGCCTTGTAAAACCGACATATTGTAAATTAGTCTTTATACTACGATAGAAAGTGATCTAACACTTCTTTTTTATGATTATAATTATAGGTGAAGATTGCATTAAAGCAATTTGATGTGATATTCGCCGAGTTTGAATTAAGCTATGTGAGTGCGATGGTTCCTGTGAAGACTGCCCTCGACTACGATACGCAGCAGGATGTCATTATATTATTTTGCGAGACTGTTGACAGGTGAGGTGTTAAATTGACTTTAATGCCTGTTGACAAATTGATAATCGGTTATTATAACAATATGTCTGGTGTGACAAAAGCAATATAATGCACCAGACAGTGAATACCGATATTAAACATGTACAATATCTTCCTATGTAAATTGTTTGCATTATAAATTGAATGTATGCTGTTGTTACTGCTGTTGATGGTGTTCTTGTTGCTGTTGATGGTGTTCTTGTTACTGCTGTTGATGGTATTCTTGTTGCTGTTGATGGTGTTCTTGTTACTGTTGATGGTGTTCTTGTTGCTGTCGATGGTGTTCTTATTACTGTTGATGGTGTTCTTGTTACTGTTGATGGTGTTCTTGTTGCTGTTGATGGTGTTCTTGTTGCTGTTGATGGTGTTCTTGTTGCTGTTGATGGTGTTCTTGTTGCTGTTGATGGTGTTCTTGTTGCTGTTGATGGTGTTCTTGTTACTGTTGATGGTGTTCTTGTTGCTGTTGATGGTGTTCTTGTTACTGCTGTTGATGGTGTTCTTGTTGCTGTTGATGGTGTTCTTGTTACTGTTGATGGTGTTCTTGTTACTGTTGATGGTGTTCTTGTTGCTGTCGATGGTGTTCTTATTACTGTTGATGGTGTTCTTGTTACTGTTGATGGTGTTCTTGTTGCTGTTGATGGTGTTCTTGTTACTGTTGATGGTGTTCTTGTTGCTGTTAATGGTGTTCTTGTTACTTTTGATGGTGTTCTTGTTGCTGTTGATGGTGTTCTTGTTGCTGTTGATGGTGTTCTTGTTATTGTTGATGGTGTTCTTTTTGCTATTGATGATGTTCTTGTTACTGTTGGTGGTGTTCTTGTTGCTGTTGATGGTGTTCTTGTTGCTGTTGATGGTGTTCTTGTTGCTGTTGATGGTGCTCTTTTTACTGTTGATGGTGTTCTTGTTACTGTTGATGGTGTTCTTGTTGCTGTTGATGGTGTTCTTGTTGCTGTTGATGGTGTTCTTGTTGCTGTTGATGGTGTTCTTGTTACTGTTGATGATGTTCTTGTTGCTGTTGATGGTGTTCTTGTTACTGTTGATGGTGTTGTTGCTGTTGATGGTGTTCTTGTTACTGTTGATGGTGTTCTTGTTGCTGTTGATGGTGTTCTTGTTGTTACTGTTGATGGTGTTCTTGTTACGGTTGATCAGGGGTGGATCCAGAGATGTCCGAAAGGGAGGGCCGGAAGGTGGGCTGAAAGTTGGGCCGATCAAGACAACACTACCCTAGGGGGTCCAGGGGAATTCCCTGCGATTTTTGTGCTTTGAGAGGCCCGAAAATAACATATGAGGCGTTTTAGGCGATCAATTATTTCTTTTTCTTTTCTTTCTTTCTTTTTTTTTTTAACTTTCCAAAAAGGGGGGGGGGGGGCCTTTAAATCCGCCCCTGTTGATGGTGTTCTTGTTACTGTTGATGGTATTATTGTTGATGGTGCTGCTGTAGGTGCTATTGTTGCAGCTGCTGTTGTGTGTGTTTTGGTGATGATGTTGGTCGCTATTTTGCTGTTACTGTTTTAGACATATATAAAAAATACAACATTTTCTTTATTAATATTGATATAAGTTAATTATTATTG